CCCGCGAGCCCGCAGGCCTCCTGGGAGATGCAGGGAACAGGCCGGCCAGGAAAAAATAGCTTTTTCCCCACCACAGAAGCTGGGAGGCTGCAGGGCCCTCACAGACTCCAGCTGGAAACATCTTTCTTTGGAAACTGAGTCATAGCAAATCAATAGGCCGCACTTTAAAGCCCGAACCATGGGTTTATCTCCTCTAAAAGTCACAGGCAGTTGGCAGGGATGCCTTTAGGGGGCATGAGCCAAGAGACCCACGTGGGACAGTTGGTGGGAGCTGAGCCTCTTCCTTGGGTGTGGGCGGGACCCCCGAACCCCTCATGTCCCCCCGGACCCCCTGGCAGCCTGGGTTTCTAACGCCGCCCATTAACGCCTGGATATTGAGTGGAAGGACCCCTCCCCCAAAACCTTCCTGGGGGCCACATCCGGCGATGCTCAGAGCTGGACTCCTGGCTCTGCATTCAGGAATCACTCCTGGGGGTGCTCAGGGGACCCTATGGGATGCTGGGAATCGAACCCGGGTGGGCTGTATGCCCACCCCGCTGTGCTATCGCTCCAGCCCCTCCCCCAAACTTTTTTGGGTCCACACCCGGGGATACTCAGGGCTGACTCCCAGCTCAGGAATCCCTCTTGGAGCTGCTCAGGGCACCATATGGGGGTGCCAGGGATCGAACCCGGGTCGGCCGCGTGCAAGGCTTGTGCCCTAACCGTTGCAGTCCACTCGAGCCCCGCGTTTTACTTTTGTGATGTGTGCATAGCGTCAGTGCCTTCTCTGGTTCTAAGGAAGGTGCTGCATTTCAGGACCTTGGTCCCTGCTGAGCGGAGCGGGAGACTGTCTCAGCCTCGAGTCCCGTGGCAGGTGCCCCCAGAGGCAGGCGAGTGGGATTCTGCAAAGCCAGCTGGGAGCGGTGGTGGGTGGTCCTGGGCCCACATCGGGCCAGCGCCACCAGCTGGTACAAGGCTGCGCTTACCCTGATTCTGCTAAAGCAGTCGGAGGGAGGGAGGGATGAACAGGTGGAGGGATGAACTGGTGGGTGCATGGGTGGGGTGCACAGATGAGTGGATGGATGGGTGCCTGGGAGGCTGATGGGTGGGTGCGGGGTTGGGTAGAGGGATGGGGTAATGGATGAAAGGATGAATGGGTGGATAGACGGATGGGTGGATGGGTGGGTGGGTGGATAGATGGATGGGTGACTGGGTGTGGGTTGTTGGGTAAATGGATGGGTGGGTGGGTGGGGTGTTGGAGAGAAGGATGGATAATGGGTGGAGGATGAACGGGTGGATAGAAGGATGGATGGATGGATGGGTGGATGGATGGATAGGTGGGTGAATGGTGGTTGAGTAAATGAATGGGTGGGTGGGTGGGGAGTTGGAGAGAAGGAACGATAATGGATGGAGGATGAATGGGTGGATAGATGGGTGGGTGGATGGATGGATGGGCAGGTGTGTAGCTGGGTGGGTGGGGTGACTTGGTGGCTGGGTGGCTGGGTGGATGGGTGGGGGGTTAGATAGAGGGATAGGTAATGAATGAAAGAATGAATGGGTGGATAGATGGATGGATGGATGGATGGATGGATGGATGGATGGATGGGTGGGTGGGTGGGTGGATGGATGGGTGGGTGGGTGGACTGGGAGGGTGGGTGACTGGGTGGGTGGGTAGATGGGTGGGTGAGTGGATGAGGAGTTGGAGAGAAGGATGGATAATGGATGAAGGATAAATGGTGGGTAGATGGGTGGATGGATGTATGGGCAGGTGTGTAGCTGGGTTGGGTGGGTGGGTGGGTGGGTGTGTGGGTGGGAAGATGGGTAGTTGGGTAGATGGGTGGGTGGGTGGGAGTGGATGGATGGGGAGTCGGAGAGAAGGATGGATAATAGAGGATGAATGGTGGATAGACGGGTGAGTGGATGGATGGATGGATGGATGGATGGATGGATGGATGGATGGACAGGTTTGTAGCTGAGTGGGTGGGTGCTGTGGGAGGGGGGAGGGGGGAGTTGGGAAGAAGGTGAGAAGATGGAGGGAGTGATGAGTGGCCAGATGGGTGGATGAAGACAGGATGGGAAGTGACAGCTGATAGGTGAGTGATTAAGATACAAATGGACAGAGGGAGCTTTGGCCCCTTCCTCTCCGTGCTGGCTGTCCCCCCCGCCCCCACCCTAGGCTTCCCTGTGGAAAGCTCAGCTCCCTGTTAGGGTGGGGGAGGGGCCGGGAAGTGGAGCTGTAACGGGAGAGGCCCTGGCCCGGGGTGACTGTGCTAATCTTAGAACACTGGTGCGGGAGGACAAGTGTCCAGGGCTCAGGACACGCCCGTGGACAGCCCAGGAGGTCAGCAGCCCTCCCCCGCCCACCCCTGATGTCCAGGGCTGGTCTGACCCCAGGTCCTTGCCTCCTCGCCGGTACCTGGGTGAGCCGGCATCTCACCCGTCCTGGGGCTGTTCTCCAAGGCCCTTCATGAACCCTGCACCATCCCTGGGGTCCTTGCTCGGGCCGCCAAGAACCAAGCAGCCCCCCCATATTGTTTCCTTGTGTCCCACCGTGTGACCCTAATGCAAGTGCCTCGCCTTCTCTGGGCTTTCATGGGGCAGAAACTAGGCACAGCAGAGCACAGGCTGGGAAACTGCAAGGCTGGTGATGCGGGGAGGGAGACCCCCCCCATCGCATGCGATCCCTCTCGTCCACATGCAGTTCTTCTCTCTAGCCAGACCCAGGGCTCCATGGTGCCTGCCGATCCCTGAGCCCGGCTTGGGGGGAGGTTGAGGGGCTGCAGAGTTTGCTCTATTTTTGTCCTGAAAGCATCTTCCTGCTTGGCCAGTGTTGGGGTGCAGGGGTGAAAGTGCCCAGTCAGCACCTGGGGGGAGGGGGGGAGGGGGAGGGGAGGGGGGCTTCGTTCATGGCCTGCCCAGGGCCCGTGTGGGGCTGTGGGACTGTGCGCTGCTGGAAGCCCCCTCCCTGGGGACAGGAGGGGCTACGCTGGGGCAGAAATCCGGGGGTCCCTCTTACTGCCCTCGCCAGCTGCTCACCAAGCCCAGCCCCGCTCAGTGCTCCCACAGGCCCTTCCCCCGGTGCTCCCAGGGGCCCAGCTACCTCCACTTATAGGTCGCTGGAAGGAGGAGCTGTATGTGGGTGTGTGCACGTGTACATGTGTGTGTATGTGTGTGCATGTCTTTGTGCATTGTGCATGCATGTGTGTATATGTGTACATATGTATATTGTGTGTGCACATGTGTACATGTATGTTGTGCGCGGGTGTACATTTATGTGTGTGCACACATGTACATGTATGTTGTGCGCGGGTGTACATTTATGTGTGTGCATGTGTGTAAATGTGTGTGTGCATATACATGTATGTTGTATGCGGTGTTTGTTTATGCATGCGTGTGCATGTGTGTGCAGCTGTGCGTGTGTGTATCGTGTGTGTGTGTCCGGTGTCACCAAGCATGTCGTGTGCCCATTCACGCTGCCTCTCTGCCCTTTCTCTGCTAATTCGCCGCTGACTGAACATTCCTTTATTTGGTTTTAGGGTTGCTGTGTTTTTAGTTTTGGGTCCCACCCGGCGATGCTCAGGGCCGACTCCTGGCTCTGCACTCAGGAATTACTCCTGGCAGTGCTCGGGGGACCCTAGGGGATGCCGGGGATCAGATCCCCGTCAGCTGCGTGCAGGGCAAATGTCCTATGATTCCTTTATTTATTTATTTATTGCTTTTTGGGTCCCACCCGGCGATGCTCAGGGCTGCCTCCTGGCTCTGCACTCAGGAATCACTCCTGGCGGTGCTCAGGGGACCATATGGGATGCTGGGGATCGAACCTGGGTTGGCCTCATGCAAGGCAAATGCCCTACCCGCTGTGCTATTGCTCCAGCCCCCCTATGATTCCTGTAAAGACAGTACCTGAAGGGTGGGGTGGGGTTAAGGGCTGGGCCCGCCAGGGACAATCTTCAGGTTTCTGCAGTGCTCAGGGGCTCCACCGGGCTCTGTGCTCAGAGCAGATCCCGGCAGTGCCGGGGGTCAGAGTTGAACCTCCTGCAAATACCAGACAAGCACCCGGCCACCCCCACCTCCCGCATCAAAAGGCCCCCCACTCCAGGTTGGGGTCAGGATGGAAACTGGGGATACTGATGGAGGGAAAGTCACATGGGGGGGTTGCTAGAATTATAAATGCTTGAAACAACTGCGTCATGGGCAACTTTGGAAATCCCTGTGTACAAAATGGTCATTAATTTAAATAAAGCCCCCCCCGCAGCAAGCCCCCCTTTTAAAATTAATTAATTAATTAATTAATTAATTAATTAATTTGGCTTTCGGGGTAGGGCATTTGCCTTGCATGCGGCCGACCTGGTCCTCCACCCCTCTTGGAGAGCCCGGCAAGCTACCGAGAGCACAGGAAAGCCTGGCAAGCCACCCGTGACGTATTCAATATGCCAAACACAGTCACAAGTCTCACAAATGGAGACGTTACTGGTGCCTGCTCGAGCAAATCGATGAACAACGGGAGGACAGTGCGACAGTGCTATTTGGCTTTAGACCCAGCAATGTTCAGGAGTTACTCCTGGCTCTGCACTCAGGAATCATTCCTGGAGGTGCTCGGTGGTAACCCCATGGGATGCCGGGGATTGAACCTGGGTCGGCCGCGTGCAAGGCCAGTGCCCTCCCTGCTGTACTAATAGCTCTGGCCCACATCCCTCGTTTTTTGAAGCCCCTCTGGCCCAAGGGAGGGATTCTGAGCCTTCCTGGCTAGGACCCCCGTTTCAGGCCGGATCTCTGCAGAATGAGGAAGCTTGATGTGACTTTGGGTGCCCCTGTGGGCAGCTTCCGGGCAGGGTCAGGGCTGACCCACAAGCTTGGACGCGGGAAACCAATTTCCACCATAGGAGGGGGAAAAAAAAAGAAAAGAAAAAAAAATAACGACTTCAATGTCTGGGCAGCCTGCTGGTGGCCATAAACCAGTGTGGGGGGCGTGGGACCGAGCTCCACGCAGCGGCCAGTTGACGTTTGTCCCTGGGTTGCAGGAAAGGCCTCCCCAGAGCCTCGCCAAGGCGGGGAACGCCGTGTCCCCATCCCCCTCGGTGGCCCAGCTGGCCGGGCGCTTTCGGGAGCAGGCGGCTGTCTCAGCGAAGGAGGTGAGTGAGAGGGAGCGACGGGGCTTCCTGGGAGGGGCTGGGCAGGCCTGGGATGCCCAAATTAGGAAGAGGCGGCACAGGGGTCCCTGTGAATGCGAGGAATGTCGCCGCCAGCCATCATCATCACCCCCCACCCGGACTGGACGACGCAGAAGGTCCAGGCCTGCCTGGCCAGGCCGGGTCATCTGGAAACAGTTTCCTGGGGTGCAAGTGGGAACTGGGACTCGAAGGAGTTCGGGACCCACCGGGTCTCTTGGGGCGGGGTGGGGCGTGGGGGGAAGGCAGGCCCAGCAGGGACAGAGCTGGGAGAGACGCCTCAGGGAGGCACCCAGGGCCGGGCAGGGGGCGGGCAAGAGAGCTCAGAGGGCTGGAGTCCACCCCCAGCCTTGCAGGGGCCCCCCAGCCCTGGCAGGTTGAGGCCCCCCAAACTAGACAACAAAGCCCCCCTGGGGGAATGGGAGGGAAAGTCAGGAGCAGGACCCAGGGCTCCAGCCAATGGTGCTGGAGAGGATGGGGGGAGGGGGAGAAGTTTGGGGGCCTAGGGCTAGGGTCTCACGGGGGGGGGGGGGGAGGGGCTGGGAGAGGAGAGGAGAGAAGAGAGGGAGGGAGGGGAGAGGAAAGAAGAGGAGGAGAGAGGAGAGGAGGAGAGAGGAGGGAAGAAGAGATTAGGGAGGGGAGAGGTGGGGAGGGGAGAAGTGAGGAGGGGAGGGGAGGGGAAAGGACAGAAGGGGCGGGGAGAAGAGGAGAGAAATTAGGGAGGGGAGAAGGGGAGGGGAGGGAAGAGGACAGGAGAAGAGAGGAGAGAAGAGGAGGGGAAGAGGGCGGAGGGGAGAGGAGGAAAGGGGAGAGGAGGGGTGGGGAGGGAGGAGGAGGGGAGAGGAGAGGAGGGGAGAAGAGGGGAGGGGAGAGGTGGGGAGGGGAGAGGTGGGGTGGGGAGAGGAGAGGAGGGGAGGGGAGAGGAGGGTCAGGGAGGGGAGGGAGGAGGAGGGGAGGGACAGGAGGGGAGAGGGGAGGAGAGAGAAGGGGGAGGAGAGGGGACAGGAGAGGATGGGAGAGGAGAGGAGAGGAGAGGCGAGGAGGGGAGAGGAGGAGAGGAGAGTTCAGGAGAGGAGGGGAGGGGAGAGGAGGGGGAAGGAGAGGGAGGGGAGGGGATGGGAGGGGACAGGAGAGGAGGGGAGAGGAGAGGAGAGGAGGGGAGGGGAGAGGAGAGGAGAGGAGAGGAGGAGAGGAGAGTTCGGGAGGGGAAGGGAGGGGAGAGGAGGGGGAAAGAGAGGGAGGGGAGGAGAGGGAAGGGGAGAGGAGGGTAAGGGAGGGGAGGGAGGAGGAGGGGAGAGAAGAGGAGGAGGAGGGACAGGAGGGGAGAGGAGAGTTCGGGAGGGGAAGGGAGGGGACAGGAGAGGATAGGAGAGGAGAGGAGAGGCAAGGAGGGGAGAGGAGGAGAGGAGAGGAGGAGAGGAGTGTTCTGGAGAGGAGGGGAGGGGAGGGGAGGAGGGAGGCGGGGAGAGGGGAGAGGAGGGGGGAGGGGAGAGTGAAGGGGAGGGGAGAAGAGGGGAGGAGAGAGAAGGGGGAGGAGAGGGGACAGGAGAGGATGGGAGAGGAGAGGAGAGGCGAGGAGGGGAGAGGAGGAGAGGAGAGTTTGGGAGGGGAAGGGAGGGGAGAGGAGGGGGAAAGAGAGGGAGGGGAGGGGAGGGGACAGGAGAGGAGGGGAGAGGAGAGGCCAGGAGGGGAGAGGAGGAGAGGAGAGTTCGGGAGAGGAGGGGAGGGGAGGGGAGGGGACAGGAGAGTTCGGGAGGGGAGGGGAGGGGAGGGGACAGGAGAGTTTGGGAGGGGAGGGGAGGGGAGGGGACAGGAGAGTTGGGGAGGGGAGGGGAGGGGAGGGGACAGGAGAGTTGGGGAGGGGAGGGGAGGGGAGGGGACAGGAGAGTTGGGGAGGGGAGGGGAGGGGAGGGGAGGGGACAGGAGAGTTGGGGAGGGGAGGGGAGGGGAGGGGACAGGAGAGTTGGGGAGGGGAGGGGAGGGGAGGGGACAGGAGAGTTGGGGAGGGGAGGGGAGGGGAGGGGACAGGAGAGTTGGGGAGGGGAGGGGAGGGGACAGGAGAGTTGGGGAGGGGAGGGGAGGGGAGGGGAGGGGACAGGAGAGTTGGGGAGGGGAGGGGAGGGGACAGGAGAGTTGGGGAGGGGAGGGGAGGGGAGGGGACAGGAGAGTTGGGGAGGGGAGGGGAGGGGACAGGAGAGTTGGGGAGGGGAGGGGAGGGGAGGGGAGGGGACAGGAGAGTTGGGGAGGGGAGGGGAGGGGAGGGGACAGGAGAGTTGGGGAGGGGAGGGGAGGGGAGGGGACAGGAGAGTTGGGGAGGGGAGGGGAGGGGAGGGGACAGGAGAGTTGGGGAGGGGAGGGGAGGGGACAGGAGAGTTGGGGAGGGGAGGGGAGGGGAGGGGAGGGGACAGGAGAGTTGGGGAGGGGAGGGGAGGGGACAGGAGAGTTGGGGAGGGGAGGGGAGGGGAGGGGGACAGTCCTCGCGCCCCAGGCCGGTCCCAGACCGCCGCGCCGCCCCTCCCTGTCGCCTCACCCCCCCTCTCTCCGTGTGTCCGTCTGTCGCCCTCGCTGCAGACCCCGGCCAGTAAGCCCACCCGGAGGAGGCCGCCCTGCTCCCTGCCCCTGCTCCCCCCCAGGCTGGAGCTGGGCCAGAACGGGGAGGAGGTAAGTGCCTGCGCGGGGCTCTGCCGCCCCCTGCCGCCGCGCCCGGGAACTGCAGCCGCTCCCCCGGGGGGCTACGCGGCCCTCCCCGCTCGCTGGGGGCGCCGATTCCGGCAGGGCCACGGGCATTTGGAGGTCGCCGGCGGCAGTGTGGCTCCAGCGTCTGTGCCTTCTTCAGGAAGCCCCGGGGTGCAGCGTTCTCTGCACAGGAGGCGTTTGGGCCACTGGGGCCGGGGGCGCTTTGCAAGTGCCCCTGGAAAGTGTCTTGCAGGAAACCGTGCAGGGTGGAGGCAGCTGCAGGGAGCTTAAGATCAGCAGGTCTGCGCCCCCCCCAAGCCCCCCCCAGTCTGGTCTTGGGCCAGAAGGGCTGAAACTAGACTGACCAAGCCAGCCCTGGAGCAGTCAGGGGCTTCCAAGTCCCAGGCAGGAAAGGTCCTTCCCACCCCACTTCCTCCAAGATGGGAACTGGGTTTTCCCCAGCTGAGACAGCTCCCACCTTCCATCAGTAAGATACTGCATCTCCGGGGAGAGCTAGCACAGCCGGGAGAGTGCTGGCCTTACAGGGGCCTGCCCCGCATCCCATAGGACCCCCCGCCCCGCCCCAAATCCACCAGGAATGATCCCTGAGTGCAGAGCCGGGAGTCAGCCCTGAGCACCGCAGGGGTGGCCCCCCAAACCAAAAACACAAACAAAACCCAAGACAAGGCATTGTTATCACTCTCCGTAGCTCTCAATAATTTTAGTGCTCGGGGGCTGGAGCGATAGTACAGCGGGTAGGGCGTTTGCCTTGCCAGGGTTCAATTCCCCGCATCCCATATGGTTCTCCAGGAGTAATTCCTGAGTGTATGAGCCAGAAGTGTCCCCTGAACATCGCCGGGTGTGATGAAAAGAAAAAAAAAAGAATAGCCCATAAGCAGCACTGGGTGTGGCTTGAAACCACAAAATAAAATACAATTATAAAATAATAATAATAATTTTAGTGCTCACTGCTCAGTGCTCACTGTGATCATACACAGTGCCAGGGATCAAACCAGGGCCAACTGCATGCAAGGCAAGTGCCGTAAGCCCTGTCCCCACGCTCCAGACCTATTGGAGGTGTGGTTTGGGTTATTTGTCACTGACCCCACAGAGGGGTAGGAAATACAGTCTCCAAAGGGAAAGGATAGGAAATGCCCTTTTTTTTCTTTTTTGCTTTTTGGGTCTCATCCGGTGATGCTCAGGGGCTACTCCTGGCTCATGCACTGAGGAATCACTCCTGGCGGTGCTTGGGGGACCCTATCGGATGCTGGGAATTGAACCCAGGTCCGCCACGTGCAAGGCAAAAGCCTCCCCTCCCTGTGCTATTGCTCCAGCCCCAGAAAAGCCCTTTTCTTGCTTGGCCTCCAACTAACGCCGTGGAAAACACGCCTCCTTCCTTCCATCATCTTCATCACCATCGTCCTCATCTCTGTAACCATTCTGCTGCCCCTCATTGATTCTGTGGAACCGGATTGGCCACAGGGGCTGCCCAAGAAGGTCATCTGTCCTCATATATTGGTGGGACATTGGCTGGGTGCAGAAATGCTCAGGGCTGACTCCTGGCTCTGCACTCAGGAATCACTCCTAGCAGGCTCAAGGGACTGGATGCCGGACTGGATGCCGGGGATCGAACCCGGGTTGGCCACATGCAGGGCTAGCACCTTACCTGCTACGCTAATCACGCTGACCCCATATATATGTGTACATTTTTAAATTTATATTTTAGTTAAAAATTAATTTTATGTAGCACTATAGCACTGTCCTGTTGTTCATCGATTTGCTTGAGCGGACCCAGTAACGTCTCCATTGGAGACTTTGTTGTTCCTGTGTTTGGCATATCGAATACGTCACGGGGTCTTGCCAGGCTCTGCCGCGCAGGCGGGATATTCTCGGGAGCTTGCCGGGCTCTCCGAGAGGGACAGAGGAGTTGAACTTAGGTCGGTCGTGTGCAAGGCAAATGCCCTACCCGCTGTGCTATCGCTCCAGCTGGCCTATATTAATTGTATATATTTAAATTTTATGTTTTTAATTTTAATATGTACATACTTTTAAGAGCTGGAGCGATAGCACAGTGGGTAGGGCGTTTGCCTTGTGCGCGGCCCACGCGGCTGACCCAAGTTCGATTCCTCCACCGTCTCGGAGAGCCCGGTAAGCTATTGAGAGTATCTCGCCCGCACGGCAAAGCCTGGCAAGCTCCCCGTGACATATTTCATATGCCAAACACAGTAACAGCAAAGTCTCATGATGGAGACATTACTGGGCCCGCTCGAACAAATCGATGAACAACGGGAGGACAGTGACAGTGACATACTTTTAAAATTTTATGTAGTATAGAAAGTAAAATAAAAGACAGCCTGGATAGGGCTGGAATGATAAGACAGTGGGAGGGCACTGGCCTTGCACACGTCCAACACGGGTTCGATTCCCGGCATCCTGTGTGGTCCCCTGACCATCATCAGGTGTAATTCCTGAGTGCAGAGCCAGGAGTAAGTCCTAAGCGTCAATGGTGTGACCCAAAAAGCAAAAGAGAAAGAAAGAAAGAAAGAAAGAAAGAAAGAAAGAAAGAAAGAGGAAGGAAGGACGGAAGGAAGGAAGGAAGGAAGGGAAAGAAAGAAAGAAAGAAAGAAAGAGAAAGAAGAGAAAGGAAGAAAGGGGAAGGAAGGAAGGAAAGAAGGAAGGAAGGAAAAAAGGAAGGAAGGAAGGAAAGAAGGAAGGAAGGAAGGAAAAAGAAGGAAGGAAGGAAGGAAGGAAGGAAGGAAGGAAGGAAGGAAGGAAGAAAGGAAGGAAGGAAGGAAGGAAAAAGAGCCCGGCTACCCTCCACCACCCAAATTCCCTAGACGGCCAGCAGAGGGCAGTGTAGGCCAGCATTTCTCACCCAGGGTGTTTTTCCCCCCCCCCCCACCTTCCCATGGGACCCCCAAGATACTGCAAGGGAGCCCGCTCGTGAAAATCCGTTCAGTTGGTAAGTGGGGGTACAGCCTGAGACTTGGGGTAACCAGTAGCACAAGAAAAGGTCATAGTACAGAGGCATGGTCGGAAACTTGCTTAAACATGACCCCGGCCAAAGCTTGGAACCTTCTGGAAGCTCCACCAAAGTCAGCAAAACAAAGGGAATAGTTGGCGGGGGAGACGCATCAGCTAAGGCGCCTTCGCTAGGGGGAGATTAGAAACGAGGGGGCTTGAGCCAGAGTGACAGGACAGTGGAGGGGCGTGGGGGTGGGCGCTGGCCTTGCACGCCGCCGACATGGGTTCGATCCCCCGGCAGTCCATATGGTCCCCCAGCACCACCAGGAGTGATGCCCGAGCGCAGAGCCAAGAGTCAACCCTGAGCATGTGACGCCCTCCCCCCACCAAAGGAGGAGGAGGAGGAGGAGGAGGAGGAGGAGGAGGAGGAGGAGGAGGAGGAAGAGGAGGAGGAGGAGGAGGTGGTGGGGTGAAACCAGCTTCTCTTGCCCTCTGGGGGGCTGGGGTACCCCCTCGCTGGCTGACTGGCTGTCTCCATCCTTTGGCTCCTAGAAATCTCCACCCAGCGTGAACCACGGCCCTAAAGTCAAGGTGAAGAGCTCACCCCTCATTGAGAAGCTTCAGGTAAGCCTTGGGGGGTGGCCCGAACCCCCCCACCAGTCCCTCCAGGGCCAGCTCTCGGCCAGCTCCAGGGATGACGGCTTAGCCGGGGTCACACCCAGAGCCGGGAATGAACCCCAGACCTCTTGCGTGCAAAGCATTTCACAGCCCAGTTGGTACCCAGGGCCAGCTAATACTCCTGGATCGGTGCTCAACCAGATGCCATAGGGCTCAGTGGACCGAACCGGGGTCCTCCCCTATCTCTCTCTGCTCTAAGCAACTGGGATTTTCCCCGCCCCCCCCCCCCCAGCTGGGCCCTCATTGCAGTTTCCTGTGTCCACCTGGCCACAGAGCAGACTGCCCGCGTGCAGCTGAGCCGGCCACTGCTGGGCTGGTGGAGCCCCTGAGAGCAAGACTGGAGGGCAGGGCTGAGGAGGCAGCATCAACCGTGTGTGCATGCGTGTTTTGTGTGTGTGTGTGTGTGTGTGTGTGTGTGTGTGTGTGTGTCCGGCCAGCAGGGGTCACTCAAGAGACAGGGGACCCCTGGTGTGTGTGTGTGTGTGTGTGTGTGTGTGTGTGTGTGTGTGTGTGTGTGTCCGGCCAGCAGGGGGCGCTCGAGAGACAGGGGCCCCGGGCTCGTTCCTGCCTTGGGGACCTTCCCATGTCTCAGTTGGCGTCCTCCTGGGACCTGCTTGGGGGGCTGAGCGTTTCCTGGGATCACAGCTGGGGGGCGGGAGACCCTCCCGGCATCTGTGCCCCTCCTGACACGGGGTGGAGGGGCCCCATCCTGCCGCCCCCCCACGACTGAGACCCCCTTCTCCGCTCTCCCCACAGGCCTCCTTGGCCTTTGATCCCACGGCCCTGCTGCCCGGAGCCTCCCCCAAAAGCCCTGGGGTGCAGGCGGCGCTGTCTCCGTTCCAAAGCCCCCCCTCCACACCCGGCAGCCCCGGGGAGGTGCCCGTCAGCTTCGACCAGCCGCCGCCTGAGGGCAGCCACCTGCCCTGCTTCAACAAGGTACTGTGTCCGCGTGTCTGCGTGTCCATCTATCTGTGGTCTCTGTGTGTGCGAGTCTCTGTGTCTGTGTGTCTCTGTGTCTGTGCATCTCTGTCTGTGAGTCCATGTCTCTGTGTCTCTGCGTGTCTCTGTGTGTGTGTCTCTGCATGTCTGTGTGAGTCCGTGTGTCTGTGTATCTACGTGTCTGTGTGTGTCTGTGTGTGTCTGTCTGTATGTGTGTCTGTATGTGTTTGTATGCGTGTGTGTCCTTGTGGGTCTGTGTGTGTGCGTCTGTGTGTTTGTCTGTGTATGTCTGTATGTGTCTGTCTGTGTGTGTGTCTGTGTGTGTCGGTGTGTCTGTGTGTCTGTGTGTGTCTGTGCATATGTGTGTGTCTGTGTGTGCGTCTGTGTGTGTCTGTATGTGTTTGTATGCGTGTGTGTCCTTGTGGGTCTGTGTGTGTGCGTCTGTGTGTCTGTGTGTGTCGGTGTGTCTGTGCGTGTCTGTGCGTATGTGTGTGTCTGTGTGTCTGTATGTGTGTCTTTGTGTGTCTGTGTGTGCATGTCTGTGTGTATGTCTATATGTCTATGTGTCTGTCTGCGTGTCTCTGTGTGTGTCTGTGTGTCCATGTGTGTGTCTGTGTGTCTGTGCGTCTGTGTGTGCCAGCACGGGTTCAGTCCCTGGCACCCCATGTGGTCCCCCGAGCACCCCTTTGTACCACGCCTGAGTGGTTCCCTGGTTGCCTCTTCCAGGTGCGAACCAAAGGCTCCATCAAAAGGCGCCCCCCTTCCAGACGATTCCGCAGGTCCCAGTCGGACTTCGGGGACCTGGCCAACTTCAGGGCCCCGGAGCCGGCGCAGGAGAACGGCTCCAAGGAGGAGAACGGGGACGCGGCGCCCCCCCGCCCCTGCCGGGTCCCCGGACGAGGGGCTGCGCGGCGGCGGGGCGGGGGAGAAGTCGGGGTCCCCAGAGGATCTCCCTCTGAGGAGGACGCCCAGCCGGACAGAGCAGCCCGGGGACAAGGCCCTGGAAGCGCCCCAGGGCTCAGGCCCCGCGGCTGAGAACGGGCCTGGGGGTCCCCCCGAGGTCGAGCAGCCGAAACAGGCTGCAGAAACGCAGGAAGAGGAGGAGGCGCCCCCAGAGAGGAGCCCGGAGGAGGGGGCTGAGCAGGAGGGCTCCCCAAACCCTCCCGGAGGAGGGGAGGGTGCCCCCAGCCCGGAGCAGGGGAGAAGCGAGGAGCAGTCAGAGAAGGGGTCCTCGCCCGAGCCGGGAGGCAGCCCCTGCCCGCCGGAGGCCAGCGGGGAGCAGACAGAGGTAGGTGCCCCTCGTTTCTGGAAGGGCCCCGCTGACGCCCCTCATGGCTTCCTGTCCCCAGGAGGGGGGGTGACAGGCTGCCACTGGGGCCACAGGGACATGGGCCAGGGACGGGGACCGTGTCCTCTTGGCCGATTCGAGTCTGGCTGTCTCTAAAATTCAAAAACAGGGGCTGGAGTGATAGCACAGCGGGGATGGCGTTGGCCTGGCACACGGCTGACCCGGGTTCGATTCCCAGCATCCCATAGGGTCCCCCGAGCACCACCAGGAGTGATTCCTGAGTGCATGAGCCAGGAGGAAGCCCTGAGCATCGCCGGGTGGGACCCAAAAAGAAAAAAAATCATTAAATTAAATTAAAAATGAGGCCGGAGCGATAGCACAGGGGCAGGGCACTTGCCTGGTACGCAGCCGACCCAGGTTCAATCCCCAGCACCTCGCCGGGTTCCCCGAGTCCCACCAGGAGTGATCCCTGAGCACAGAGTCAGGAGTCAGCATTGAGCACTGCAGGTGGGAGTCCCTAAAAAAAGGAAGAAATTCACTGTGCTTTTGAGCCCTGGTAGCCTCTTTGCCCCCACGCCCACCTTGTCCCCTCTGGTGACCTCACAGCTGTGGTTGAGGTTCAGCAGTTTGGTTTGGGAGGGGACACACTCAACAGTGCTCTACAGCTGCTCTTGGCTCAGTGCTCAGAGGCCGTTCCTGGTGGCAGTGCTCAGGGGACCTTGAGGTGCAGGTGATCAAACCTGGGGCCCTTACATGCCAGTTCTGGCTCTAAACACTGAACTTTCTGCCCAGTCCTATTACTATTTTTTTTTTCTTTTTGGGTCCCACCCGGCAATGCTCAGGGTTCCTCCTGGCTCTGCACTCAGGAATCACTCCTGGTGGTGCTCGGGGGACCCTATGGGATGCCGGGGATCGAACCCGGGTCGGCCACATGCAAGGCAAACGCCCTCCCCGCTGTGCTATCACTCCAGCCCCCCTACTATTATTCTTGTTACCATTATTCTTATTAGATTTCCAATCTCGCTGCCCCAGAGAGGCCCGCCGGGGGTTGAGGTGGTCTCAGCTCCCTGTTACTCACTTTCCCATCCTCTGCCCCTAGGATGACTCTTCTGCTAAGGACACAGAAATGTGAGTGACAAACCACAGCTTGAGTCTCATCACCCCGGGGCTGCCGGCCACACTCTCGGACAGGAAACGGAGGGGCATCCTGCAGCGTCTGGGGGCGCAGAGACCCCAGAACTGGCCTCCCCGGGCCTCAATGGAAAGGCAACTTATTTAAAACAACCGACTGTAACGAAAACGCCCCCCAGACACCCCTTTCTCAGCCTGTGGGCCCCGATCCCCCCAGCCCCCCTCCACAGTTGACCTCAGAACTGGACTCCGCTGGATAGCCCTGACCCCTGCTGTGTCCCGCTAGAGCGGTGGCCTGTCCACGGGGCTCAAGTCACCGCAAATGGCCTTCGATACCATGTAGCAACTGATGCAAATCTCTTAGGAAACACAGTACCTTAAGTGGCTTCGAGACTCTTGAGACAACCTTCTCGGTCTGGCCCAAACCGTCCCAGTTGTCGAAAGCTTTGGAAACGCGCAAATGAGTATGTGTCTCTCCCAACTGCAGTGAACACCCCTGCTCCCCGGAATGCAGAGCCCCAGGCCCCGGAGGGAATGTTCGCCCTTACGGCAGGTGACCTGGAGTCAGGTCGAGCTATTTCTAGGAGGTGCTGGGAGACCCAGAGGCTGTGCGGGCACAGGGTCCGAGCCTCAGTCCCCGGGTGCAAGTAGTGGCCCTGCCTGAATTTATCTCCTGAGAAAGCTTCACCCTCACGGGTTTCACCTTGGGGCCAGAGCGATAGCCCAGCGGGGAGGGCGTTTGCCTTGCATGCAGCCAACCTGAGTTCGATTCCCGGCATCTCATAGGGTCCCCTGGGCACTAGCAGGAGCGATTCCTGAGTGCAGAGGCAGGAGGAACCCAAGAGCATCACTAGGTATGAACCAAAAGCAAAAAGGAAGAGAAGAAGCTGTTTCGCCTTTAGTCCTCTGAGTATTTTTTAGCATCTTTCCGAGTATTTCGGAGGAATATTCTGAGTACCCGAGTACCCCACTCAGAGTACTTCAGCGTCCTTCATCGTATTTCTGAGTATTTCAATCGTCTTCCAATGACTAACTGAATGGATGCAGCCGAATGGGTGGATCTTTCTAGAAAATCATCCGTCTTCACCTCCCCTAACTTCAAAAAATCGTCTACAAAGGTCTAACGCCGTCACGGGTCAAGTGAATATTGGGGATTTTATTCTCTACAAAACAGTTTTGAACTTGTAGTACAGTGTCTCCAACATGTAACCCATCAAGAGCGCGCGTGTAATCGGCGTTGCGTTTTTTTTGCAGAGGCGCGCGCGCGCGTGTGTGACTGTGTGTCTTGTGTGTGACCGTCAAATAGTCGATCATCTGTTTGCCATTGCCATTCTCACTTCCTCCCTCTCTCACCTGTACATCTCTCTAAGGATCTTTTTAGCAATACATGGTTTGCGATACTTGGTCTTATTTGCTTGTGTCTCGGCTCGTACTTTGCACCCCAAGCTTACACACACATTGCCCAGTGACTACGTGAGGACGGGGTGCTGAGAACTGGGGACCTCCATCACTTCCTGGGGAAAGGGAAATGGCTAGAGAGGGTGGGTGGGCGAGAGAGGTGAAATCAGATTTTGTTTGTGTGGGGTTGGAGCGATAGCTCAGCGGTAGGGCGTTTGCCTGGCACGCAGCCGACCCGAGTTCGATTCCCGGCATCCCATAGGATCCCCTGAGCACCGCTAGGAGTGATTCCTGAGTGCAGAGCCAGGAGTAACCCCTGTGCATTGCCGGGTGTGACCCAAAAAGAAAAAATAAAAGCAAATTGTTTGTGCTTTGGGGGGTCCCATGGTACTATCCCCATGGTACTATCACTCTAGCCCCTGGTCCTTCTTTCTGGAAGCATTTTTTGGGGGTTTTTTGGGTCCCACCCAACGATGCACAGGGGTTCCTCCTGGCTCTGCACTCAGGAGTTACTCCTGGTGGTGCTCAGGGGACCCTATGGGATGCTGGGAATCGAACCCGGGTTGGCCGCATGCAAGGCAAATGCCCTACCTGCTGTGCTATCCTTCCAGCCCCCTCTGGGAGCATCTTTGATCTGGGGTTGCCTCTGGGGGCCGAGCCTGGGACTTGGAGTCTGCATCTGAGGATTTAATGCAGAAGTTAACCCCGGCGCCTCCAGGACTGGCCAGTTCCCATAATACAGATTCTTCGCAGCTCTGAGGCGAGCAACCTCTTCCTCCTTGCTCCTGCTCTAGCTGGGGTTTCCAGACTGTCTTCTCCTCTCTAAAGAGGGAGCGAGAAACAAAACAAAACAAAAACCCAAAACAGAACAACCCCCCCCCAAAAAAATGGGTGTGTGGGGGTCAGGAGCTTCTAAGAGAGATGTCACTTTTTTGAGGGTGCTCCTGTCTCTGTGGGGTGATAGCTGACCAGGCCTAGCCCAGAGACCTCAAGTGTCCCTCCACTAACCCCTTGCCCCGAACAAAGCACTTTTTCCAGACGGCACTGGGTGAATTCACCGGGTAAAGGAACGATGAAAGAAACCAGTTTCTTAGATCAGGATCTTCTGGGGTGTGAAAATTTAGTAGTTGAGTGGTTCAGGCCCTTTGAGGGGGGCTAATGGATAGAACCCAACTCATCTCTGCCGGGATATGGCTTCCTGTGGGTCTTCAGGATATTCCAAGGGGCCACAAATAAAAACTGTGTCGGGGGCCTAAGAGATGGTCCAATGGTTAGGGCTCTCGCCTTTCACACTGCTGATCTGGGTTCCAACTACAGCATCCCAGATGGTCCCCTGAGTCCTGCCAGGAGTGTTCCCTGAGCACCACCAGGTGTGACCCAACAACAAAAATGGTGTCAGGGTGGGGTCACAGCCTGAAATTAACAGGCCAACCTGTGGGACTGGGGAGCAAGTGGGAGGATAATGAAGAAAGTGATACGAAATTGAGCCAGCAAGTTAGTGCAGGGGTGAAGGCGCTTGCACTGGGACCCCATTCTGAGACAGCATACGGTCCCCCAACACCAAAAGGCGTTTCTGTTCCCTCAGACTGAACCCAGCCAACGCCTGTTCTCCACGGGGACGGCAAGACTTCCGCCGAGGTCTCACCTTGGGGAGATCTTTCCCCCACCCCCAACTGTAGTTTTGAATTTTTTGGCTTCTATCTGCGGGAGGGACCTACTCCTTGTCTAGCTCGGGGGTGAGGGTAGGAGAACCCTGGATCCCGCATGCAAACCAGAACTCCATCCACACCCTCAAAGGACGAGAGTGGGTTAAAAGCAATCGTCTGGCCGGGGACGATGTATCCAAGGGCTGACAGAAACATGGGGGGGGGAGCCCCAAGGGAATATTTTTTGTTTATTTTTATTTATTTATTTATTTCTTCTTCTGGGGTCACACTCAGCGGAGCTCAGGGGTTAAGTCCTAGCTCTGCACGCAGGAATCACTCCTGGCGGTGCTCGGGGGACCCTATGGGATGCCGGGGATCGAACCCAGGTCACCCACGTGCAAGGCAAACGCCCTACCTGCTGTGCTATCGCTCCAGACCCTCTACTTTATTATTTCATTTCATTGTTTTTTTTTTAAATTTTTATTAGTGAAACACCATGAGGTACAGTTGTAGACTTACAAATTTTTGTGCATTTAAAAAAAATTTTTTAACAAATCACCATGAGACACAGTTAGTCTCACAAACTTTCATGATTACGTTTCAGTCACAAAGATCGAGTACCAATCCCTCCACCAGTGCCCATTCTCCACCACAATGTCCCCAGTACCCCTCCCCATCCCCCCAACCCCAACTTTAATCCCAGTCCCCCCCAGTTCCATCCTCAGTAACCCCTGAGCACTGGAAAGTGTGAGTCCCATTCCACCCTCCACCCGCCAAAAAAAAAAAAAAATAATAATAATAAAGGAACTTGGGGCCGGAGCCATAATACAGTAGGGAGGGCGTTTGCCTTGCGCGTGGCAGATCGGGGTTCGATCCCCGGCATCCCATAGGGTCCCCCGAGCACCGCATTGGAGTGATTCCTGAATGCAGAGCCAGGAGGAACCCGTGTGCATGGCCAGAGTGACCCAAAAAGCAATAAACAGACAAATAAAACAAATAAAAATAAATAAATAAATAAATAAAGTAACTCGTGACTCAGTGAGGGGGGTGTCACAGCATGAAATTAAGGGGTAAACCTGTAGGACTGGGGGCAGAGATAATGAAGAAAGTGATACAATGGACAGTGGACCGGAAAAAGGAAACTAACTATTCTAAACTAGACACAATGTTGCCAAGGATCCGGGTTAAACCCCCCGGCTGCGTTGCAACTGGGCGGCGTCAGCACCGAAGCCCGAACCGGTTCTGGGCTCGCCCTTTCTCTGTTATTTCAGAAGCGGGGGGTGGCCGAGGCGCCCCGGACACCGCGCGCCCCCGGAGATCGCGCTCGAGGGGGGTTGCGGGGGGTCCCCGCAGCGCAGCCCCCAGTCCCCGCGTGCAGGAAACGCGCGTGCAGACCCCCCGACGGGAAAGCAGACGCGGTGGGGGCGGGGCGTAGGGGTGCCCCACGCGCCGTGTATCCCCTCCCCCCAACCTTGGCTGTGCCTCCGCGGGGGTCGCCGGGCGAGTGTCCTCTGCACCCCAGGGACGCGCCACCCGCCGCGGGGGGAACCCGAGCACGCGGCCGGGCGGGACCGGGGACTCGCGCGCCTGCAGGGAACGAGTCCCCGGTGGGTCACCCTAGGGTGCTCGGCACCCGCCGGCAGGAGGCGCGGCTCAAGGGCAGCTCTGGCAGCGGCGTCTCCGGGAGCGGCTCGTTGGTCTAGGGGTATGATTCTCGCTTCGGGTGCGAGAGGTCCCGGGTTCAAATCCCGGACGAGCCCAGGTTTTTTTGAGCTTTTTCTCCTGAAAGTAAGTCCCGTGCCTGCTGCAATTCGCACCCCCGACCACCCCCTCACCGTGCACAGGCAACCCGTGGAAGCGGGGATCCCCACCTCCGTTTTGCAAAGCACGCCTGGGTGCATGGAAAAAAACATAAAAAAAAAAAAAGCATGAAAAAAACGCCCATGCAATGTTAAAACGGACACCCATAAACTGACGTTGGGGAGCGGGAGTCAGAGGTCACGAGGCCCAGGTGCAGGGGCGCGCACACTTTTGCAGGGGTCTCTCCTTACACCATGCTTTTTTTTTTTTTTGTTCAAAACGTTTCATTTATTTTTTCCCCCACCAGGATTCGTCAGTGTTTCTTTAATATTCTTTTTTTTTTAATTTTTATTAGTGAAACACCATGAGGTACAGTGGTAGACTTACAAATTTTTGTGATTGGGTTTTTTATATTTTTAATTTTTATTATAACATTCTTACCCGAGCTTCTGTAGCAAGTTTTCATTCAGAAGTTTAAAAGAAAAAAAAGAAAAAGAGGGCTCGTCCGGGATTTGAACCCGGGACCTCTCGCACCCTAAGCGAGAATCATACCCCTAGACCAACGAGCCGCCGTGACTCTGCGCTCTTCCCGGCCAAGGAAAGGCGGCTGCCGCGTCCCACGCCCCCCAGCGGCGATTTTAGGAATTGTCCGTGGCTTTGGCGTTTGTTCGTTGACGCGGCGGCTGCTTCGTGGCTGCGAGCGCGTTTGGATCCTGCTTTGTGTCATTTCCTCCCCTCCCTCTCCCTTTGGCGCCGGGAAAGTCGGTGACGGAGCAGGAGGGGGACACGGTGATGTCGCAGTCCACCGATGCGGGTGCAGAGTCACAGTCCAGCCGGGCGCCGCTGTCCCCCGCTCCCGGGGCTGACGTAGACCAGGCACCCTGCCCCAGTGGCCGTGCAAGCCCGTTTTCTCCTCCTCCCGGAGTTCAAAACGCTCCCCCTTTCCAGCTCGGTGAATTTCCCGTTCTCGCGCTGCAGTTGCGAAACCTCCTTCCTGGGGAGAGAAATCTCAGAGCCCGAACTTTGGCAGGGAGTTTTAAAAAAGGAAAAGAAAAAACACAAAAGGAAACTGTTCATCCCGGTGGCGCTGTGCTTTGGAATTGGGTCTCAGCCCCGTCTCCTGGGGGTGATTTATTGGCCCTGCATTGTGTGTCCTAGGAAATACGTAATTGCAAATCCCGTAGTCCCAGTCTCTTACTAACCCAGAAGGGCTTCTGGACTCTTTAAAAAAAAATTATTTTACATTTGTTACAAATTTTGCTTTTAGGGCCACACCCCGGCTGTGCTCAGGGCTGACTCCTGGCTCTGTATTCAGGGCTCACTCCTGGTGGGCTCTGGGGACCCGATGGGATGTCGGGGATTGAATCCAGGTCAGACCAGTGCAAGGCAAGTACCCTCCCCGCTGTGCCATCACTCCGGGCCTCATTCCTATTATTCCATGCATCAGTCATTCATTCATAAGCTCATTTATTCAGCAGCGTGATAGGTCACCCATTCCACAAACATCACGAGGACCCCTCACCGAGGGGCCAGACAGAAACTAATTTCGGGTCCCAGACACTGATTTGGCACCCTCCTTTCTGTGGTCTGACACCAGGAAATTCTGGTTTTCTACTTCACTGCATTTCCCTGCCTGTGTTAGTTTTCTATGAAACCGTCCGAACTTGAGGCTTTGGTTCTTGGAGTTCAAGGCGAAGAGAATGAGCACAGAGGGTAGGGCGTTTGCCTTGCAGGTGGCCGACCCAGGTTCGATTCCTTGCATTTCACATGGTCCCCCAAGCACTGCCAGGGGTAATTCCTGAGTGCAGAGCCAGGAGTAACCCCTGGGTATCACCAGGTGTGACCCAAAAAGCAAAAAATAAAATAAAACCTATTGGGGTGGGGGTGGTGGAGGGGTGAGGTTAGAGAATAAAGAAAAATGCCCTGGATACTAGAAATTTCTATTTCTCCTGAGCATGAGAAAAGGGGGCGGAGGGAACTCAGGTCAAATACTGAGACCACTGAAAAACAGTTTTTGATATTTAAATTTTCAGACCACACCTGGCGATGCTCAGGGCTAACTCCTGGGTCTGTGCTCAGAGGTCACTCCTGGTGGTGCCCAGAGGACCACATGGGATGCCGGAGGTCGAACCGCGGTCAGCCACGTGCATGGCAAGCTCCCTACCTGCTGTGCTATCTCTCCAGCCAATTTCTCTGCAGTTCTAAGAGATCTCTGTACCGCTCTTTCCCATTTGGTTAGACTGTAGTATAGATTGTTCTGGATGGTTTTCCTCTTGTTCCTCTTTCTCTCCAGTGATTGAGAGAAGTCCCACTGCCAGGTTTTTAATTGCTTGCCACTCCCAACAGCCAGGCATCACCAACCCCAAGAGACTTGAGCTCAGCCCCCAGCACTGTGAAAATGGAAGAGAATTGCAAATTGCAAGGCTGCACGGTTGCAAGGCTAAGACAATAAAGATACCAGGCAGGGCTCTGGCAAGGTGGACTTTAGCGTTTCCGCATATCCACATGTCAACTCTGCACTCTCTCCTACCCCAGCACCATCCAGAATGCATCTCCCTGGGTGGTTGGGAAAATCGGAGACAATGATGGAGGGAAGGCATAACGGTGGTGGAATTGGTGTGGAATATTGAATGCCCGGAACAAATCATCATAAATGATTTTGCAAAGCACACTGTTTCCCTAAAGTGTAAGAGGGAAATTGGAAAATATAGATAAAAAAAAAAGCAAAGAGTATCTCCTTCCCTTTGCCCAGCTCCCTGGCTTGCTTTGGTCCTTTCCTCCACCTTCCGCTCCGGGGTCTCGGGGTCTCGCATCTGTGGGATTGGCCGCGTGCAAGGCGGCCCGGCCCAGCCAACCCCACGGAGCGCCGGTAGCCAAAGGCAGTTCAGACTCAGCCTGAGGAACCTGCCTGGGCCCAGGTTTTATTTGCAAACGCCAAGCAAACAGAAGGACGCATTCATGGGTGTGGAGAGGGGAGAGGAGGGTGTGTGTGTGTGTGTGTGTGTGTGTGTGTGTGTGTGTGTGTGTGCATTTATGGGTATGGAGAGGGGAGAGGAGGGTGTGTGTGTGTATGAGGAAGCATTGATGGGTATGGAGAGGGGAGAGAAGGGAGTGTGTGTGTGTGTGTGTGTGTGTGTGTGTGTGTGTGTAAGGACGCATTCATGGGTATGGAGAGGGGAGACGGAGTGTGTGTGTGTGTGTGTGTGAGGACGCATTGATGGGTATGGAAAGGGGAGAGAAGGGTGTGTGTGTGTGTGTGTGTGTGTGTGTGTGAAGATGCATTTATGGGTATGGAGAGGGGAGACGGAGTGTGTGTGTGTGTGTGTGTGAGGACGCATTGATGGGTATGGAAAGGGGAGAGAAGGGTGTGTGTGTGTGTGTGTGTGTGTGTGTGTGTGTGTGTGTGTGAAGATGCATTTATGGGTATGGAGAGGGGAGAGAAGGGAGTGTGTGTGTGTATGTGTGAGGACGCATTGATGGGTATGGAGAGGGGAGAGAAGGGTGTGTGTGTGAGGACGCATTGATGGGTATGGAGAGGGGAGAGAAGGGTGTGTGTGTGTGTGTGTGTGTGTAAGGACGCATTCATGGGTATGGAGAGGGGAGACGGAGTGTGTGTGTGTGTGTGTGTGTGAGGACGCATTGATGGGTATGGAAAGGGGAGAGAAGGGTGTGTGTGTGTGTGTGTGTGTGTGTGTGTGTGTGTGTGAAGATGCATTTATGGGTATGGAGAGGGGAGACGGAGTGTGTGTGTGTGTGTGTGTGTGAGGACGCATTGATGGGTATGGAAAGGGGAGAGAAGGGTGTGTGTGTGTGTGTGTGTGTGTGTGTGTGTGTGTGTGAAGATGCATTTATGGGTATGGAGAGGGGAGAGAAGGGAGTGTGTGTGTGTATGTGTGAGGACGCATTGATGGGTATGGAGAGGGGAGAGAAGGGTGTGTGTGTGAGGACGCATTGATGGGTATGGAGAGGGGAGAGAAGGGTGTGTGTGTGTGTGTGTGTGTGAGGACGCATTGATGGGTATGGAGAGGGGAGAGAAGGGTGTGTGTGTGTGTGTGTGTGAGGACGCATTGATGGGTATGGAGAGGGGAGACAGGGAGTGTGTGTGTGTGTGAAGATGCATTTATGGGTATGGAGAGGGGAGAGAGGGTGTGTGTGTGTGTGTGTGTGTCTGAGGACACATTCATGGATATGGAGAGGGGAGACAGGGAGTGTGTGTGTGTGTGTGTGTGTGTGTGTATGTAAGAACGCATTTATAGGTATGGAGAGGGGAGAGAAGGGTGTGTGTGTGTGTGTGTGTGTGTGTACGCATTGATGGGTATGGAGAGGGGAGACAGGGAGTGTGTGTGTGTGTGTGTGTGTGTGTGGACGCATTGATGGGTATGGAAAGGGGAGAGAAGGGTGTGTGTGTGTGTGTGTGTGTGTGTGTCTGAGGACACATTCATGGATATGGAGAGGGGAGACAGGGAGTGTGTGTGTGTGTGTGTGTGTGTGTGTGTGTGTGGACGCATTGATGGGTATGGAGAGGGGAGACAGGGAGTGTGTGTGTGTGTGGACGCATTGATGGGTATGGAAAGGGGAGAGAAGAGTGTGTGTGTGTGTGTGTGTGTGTGTGAAGATGCATTTATGGGTATGGAGAGGGGAGAAAGGGTGTGTGTGTGTGTGTGTGTGTGTCTGAGGACGCATTCATGGATATGGAGAGGGGAGACAGGGAGTGTGTGTGTGTGTGTGTATATATGTAAGAACGCATTTATAGGTATGGAGAGGGGAGAGAAGGGTGTGTGTGTGTGTGGACGCATTGATGGGTATGGAGAGGGGAGACAGGGAGTGTGTGTGTGTGTGTGTATATATGTAAGAACGCATTTATAGGTATGGAGAGGGGAGAGAAGGGTGTGTGTGTGTGTGTGTGTGTGTGTGGACGCATTGATGGGTATGGAGAGGGGAGACAGGGAGTGTGTGTGTGTGTGTGTGTGTGTGTGTGTGTTGCCCCCTGGCTCCAACCTCCTCTTGAAGCCCAAAGTGGGGGTGCTCTTAAAAGGACATTCCTGCCAGACGGAAACTCTCGCTAGCCCAGACCAACATCTGCGGGGTCTCAGCGCGCAACAGGCGGCCTGGGGACCAGGGCCGCGCCGAGGGTCGCCGAGGGCAAGGGCTGCTCGTGCCCACGCCGATCCACGCGTTTCTCGCGGCCGGCCGGCCTTCTCCCCTGACTCGAATCTTCTCTTCCAGGCGGGCGGGATGGGAACGGCTTCCCAGCCCCTGTCCCCCTCGGTGAGGCTCCGGGAATCCGATCGGCGAGGCGAGCGCGGACGGGGCGCCTGGACCCGGCGGGGGCGGCCACGCAGGCAGGCCACGGACCGCGGCGGCGGGGGGACCCCGCGGGCCTCGGCCGGGCGAAAGGCGCCCGGGTGGGACCGGAAGGCGGGGCCTCGCGGGGACGGACGGCGGCGCGGGCCAATGGGCGCCCCGCGAGGCCGCGCGCCCGCCAATGAGCGGCCGGGGCGGGGCGGCGGGGCCCGGAGCGGGGCCGCGGCGTGGAGGTGCCACGGGACGGCGGCGACGGTGGCGGCGGGGTCCCCGCGTCGCTGTGAGCGCGGCCGGGGCGGGCGGCGGCTGCAGCGGGGCCCGATGGCAGCCCCGTGGGCGCTGCTGGCCCTGGGCCTGGGTGAGTGGGCGACCGGGGGGCGGGGCGCGCGGCCTGGACCGCGGGGCGCGGGGTGCGGGGTTGGGGCGCCCCCGGGGCTGGGACTCGTGGTCCCGGGGGTGGCAGGGTCTCCACTCGCGACGCCCCCTCTGCTGGCCCCCTCCCGTGGTTTATTATAACGATGATTTCTTTATTTAAGGTGCATTGCCTTTTTTTCCCTTTTTTTTTTTGACTTTGAGAGATTTGATTTGGAAGGAGAGAGACACCCCCTGTCTCCTCCCCCACGCCCCCAGACTCAGTCGCCTGCACCCCAGGGCTCCTGGCACCCCTTCCTTCTGGGTCCGGACCCCCACGCAAGCCCCTGGCTGCCACGCATCCACGTCGCAGACCTTGCACACGGGGCTGGCGGCATGGGCTACGGCGGGACACGGGACATGGGAGAACACGTTTTTTTTGGGGGGGGGGGTTGAGCGAGGAGAGGGGAGGGGATCCACACACCCCGCAACCCCCCAGCCCCAAATTGCATGAGTCACAACACCCGGACAATCTCAGGCTGGCCCTAGCGCCCTGGCGCGCGGTTGCAGGGTGGGCCATCCCGGCCCCGTCCACGGCCGCGCGCGACCCTGCGACCCGCGACCCGAACAGGACTTGGGGTGGGTTCCCCAGAGCGCGCCCAGGCCCCCTCCAAAGCCACGCACGCGCTTCCTTCGTTTCCTTTTGTCCTGCAACGTGTTAGTTTGGATCACCTTTGGGAACCAGAATTTGCAGCCAGGATTTCTTCCGGGGGGCGGGGAAAATCCTGAATTTACATTCAGGGGCCCTGGAACTGGGTGCGGGGAGAAGTATGGGACCAATGATTTCCAAAGCTCCAAGATGCACCCTCCATCTCCCCGCCAACCCCCTGGAGGTTGACAGCTGAAGGGATGTTGGGTGTATAGGAGCACTGTCTTGTCTGTATAAGGGTCTCTGATGAGAGGGGTGGGCGCCTGGCTTGCACGTGGCTGATTGTGGTTCATTCGGGAGCACCTCATCTGGTCCCCTGAGAAGTCCCAGGAGTGATCTCTGAGTGCCCCCTCCCCCCGAAAATAAAAAAGGCAAAGAAAAAGTTTAGCAATGTGGAGTTTTTGGTTGCGGATGGCGGTGATGCTTAGGTTTCAGTGGTCAAGGCAGGAAGTAGCCTAATCAGAAACCTTGTGTGTTTTGGCAGAATTGATTATGCTGGAGATCAGATGTTTTCTTGAGGAGAAATCAGTTGGGGGGATCTCAAGTGAGCGGCATTTGAAAGTAGCAGAACCTCCCCTCCCCCCCCCCCCAAAAAAAAAACACCAAACAAAAATAACCCTCCAACTCCTTTGAGTCAGTGGTGGAGAATTTCAGATTCTGTTTTGAAGATTATCTTCTTGCCGAATCCCTTTTACGCCCAAACCTTGAAACTGAAACATAAAGAATTCCTGTTTGACCAAAAGCCGTCCTGAATCTGATGCTGATATGGGTTCAACTACTTTTCTCTGGGGGTAGAGGTTCCTCCTGGCTCTGCACTCAGGAATCACTCTTTTTTTTTTTTTTGCTTTTTTTTGGGTCACACCCGGCGATGCACAGGGCTGACTCCTGGCTCTGCGCTCAGGAATAACCCCTGGCGGTGCTCAGGGGACCATATGGGATGCTGGGAATTGAACCCGGGTCGGCCGCGTGCAAGGCAAACGCCCTACCTGCTGTGCTATTGCTCCAGCCCACTCAGGAATAACCCCTGGCGGTGCTCGGGGGACCCTATGGGATGCCGGAGATCAAACCTGGGTCGGCTGCGTACCAGGCAAACACCCTCCCTGCTGTTGCTATTGCTCTGGTCCCTAAGCATGTTTCTTTTTTTGGGGGGGGGCTCACACCTGGTGATGCTCAGGGGTTACTCCTGGCTCTGCACTCAGGAATCACTCCTGATGATGCTTGGGGGGGGGGGGGGACCCGATGGGATGCTGGGAATCAAACCGAGATCAGCTGCATGCAAGGCAAATGCCCTCCCCGCTGTGCTATCACTCCGAGAGCCTACTAAGCACGTTTCTTTTTCTTTTTTAATACAAAGTCCAGATGTATTTCAGTTGGATATTATCTTTTGCTCAGATTTTCCTACTACCATTCAAGCCTAATTTTTCAGGGACAAATGCTAGATCATTTGCTTTCCATTGATCACTTTCTGGTTTTTTTTTTTTTTTTGGGGGTCACATCTGGCGATGCACAGGGGTTACTCCTGGCTCTGCACTCAGGAATTACCCCTGGCGGTGCTCAGGGGACTATATGGGATGCTGGGAATAGAACCTGGGTTGGCAGGGGGCAAGGCAAATGCCCTACCCGCTGTGCTATTGCTCCAGCCCCATTGATCACATTTCTTAAGCCCAGACTAAGTACCCTGGCATATTCACAGCTTGATGGGGAACATTCTGGATTGTGTGGTGAGCTCTGGAAGTTGGAGAAAGAGATGGAGGTGGGGGAGATGGTATCTTTCTGCCGGAAGTTCCCTGTGATGGGAAGTTGGGGTGTGGGGGGCGGAGAGAAGCTGGTAGGGGACACTAACTATCACATTCACCTTAATTGTCCCTCAGTCGTTGCTGGTGGAAAAATGGAAACTTTCTGGCAGGGCTGGGGGAAGACCAGGGACCATAGATTTTTTTTTGGGGGTGGGAGGAGGGAGGATTGTCACACCTGGCGATGCTCAGGGCCGACTCCTGGCTCTGCACTCAGGAATTACTCCTGGTGGTGCTCAGGGGACCCTATGGGATGCCGGGGATCGAACCCGGGTTGGCCCGTGCAAGGCAAACACCCTCCCGCGCTCTAGCCCCTGGGACCATAAATTTCTCTGCCCTTAAGACGTGAAGGGTGGGTTAGAGGAATGTGGCTGGAACGGAGAAAACAAACCGAGTGCTCCTGCCCCAGGGAAGAGGGAGGAAGACCAGGTAGAGAATTTGCTCCATTCCCCCCAGAGCCAACCCGCCTGGCTTGGACTTGGGACCCACTGGGTGTGGGTCAGACCAGACCAGGAGGGGTGCTGAAGTTTAGGTGTGGGCATCTGAGAGGTTTTTTTTTCTTTTTGAAAGAGGGAGTGCTCTTTGCAAATAGAGAAATTGGGAGAGGAGGTCTTGGAGGAAATTGAAGTTGGTTTTGGATCCACTGAAATGCCTTTGCATCCAAAGAGAGGTAACCGGGCAGACAGTGGCAAGAAGGTTCTGGAATTGGAGAGAGTTTCTTTGCCTTGCACATGGCCGGGTTCAATCCCAGGCACCCCAGAGGGTCCCCTGAGCACTGCCAGCAGTCACTCCTGAGTGCAGAGCCAGGAGGAACCCCTGGGCATGGCAGGGTGTGGCCCAAAAACAACCAGAAAGAAATGGCTGTGTCCCTGGGGCCAGAAGTACAGTGCAGGGGGTGGGTGGGGCGTTTGCCTTACATGAGGCCAATTGGTCGATCCCTGGCATCCCATATAGTCCCCTAAGTACCATCAGGAGTGATTCCTGAGTGCAGAGCCAAGAGTAAGCCCTGAGCATCGCTGGGTGTGACCCAAAAGCAAAAATGGGAGGGGGAGAGAGAGAGAGAGAGAGAGAGAGAGAGAGAGAGAGAGAGAGAGAGAGAGAGAGAGAGAGAGGGATAGGGAAATGGAGAGAGGGGCGAGAGATAGAAAGAAAGAGAGGGATGGAGGGAGGGAGGAAATGAGGGAGGGAGGGACGGAGGGAGGGAGGGAGGGAGGGAGGTCTGAGGCTTCTTGGGTCAAGCCCTAAAACTGCATTGTGGGATGATTCCAGGGAATAGGGACTCAGGATCCAGAGCCCAGGGCCATAGGGGCGGGCAGAATCAGGAAGTACCCAGAAGGGGCCTCCGATCCTCTGACAAATGGAGATGGTGAGACAGATTCTGAGCTAGGTGGTGATTCATCTCCATTCTAACCCTGACATCTTAGGGAAGAAGACAGAAGTGTGGCCGGGTCCCGTGGCTGTGGTGGGGATTGTCTGTGTAGGCCCTTCTGTGGCCGATCACAAGGAGATTAGCCTACATCGCCAGGAAGTGGCTCAGTGGGAAATTGCAGACCCGGATCCGATCCCTGCAAGTGCAGGCAAGAAAAAGCAGCGGTCAGTGATGGCCACCACCCACTCCTGCCCAGGGGCACCGTGCCTGAGCACCACCATTGTTGTGTCTTTATTATATTCTCTTTTCTTTTTTGGGTCACACCCAGTGATGCTCAGGGGTTCCTCCTGGCTCTGCACTCAGGGATCACTCCTGGCGGTGCTCAGGGGACCCTATGGGATGCTGGGGATCGAACCCGGATCAGCCACATGCAAGGCAGACGCCCTCCCTGCTGTGCTATCACTCAGGCCCCTACCATGTCTTTATTATAATTTCTTGCTATGTCATTTGCTTTTGTTTGGGGCCACACCCGGCAGTGCTCAGGGCTGATTCCTGGCTCTGCACTCAGAAATCACTCCTGGCGGTGCTCAGGGGAACCCTATGGGATGCCGGGGATCGAACCCGGGTCGACCGTGTTGCAAGGCAAACACCCTCCCCGCTGTGCTATCACTCCAGCCCCCTTGATTTTCTCTTGATTGTGGGCACACCTGGCAGTGCTCAGAGGTCTTTTCTGCTGCACTATTTTGTGCTTTTCCTAAGTAAACACGTTGCTTTGAGTGCAGCTCTAGACCCCATTTTTTTTTATTAAATCATGTTTGTTGTAGTAACCAAATGTTTTTATCAATTGACCTTTTCTTTTTCAAGATGCTTGCTGACCAGATTTAGACTTGAGGCACGCCCTTAAATAGTTGAAACGCCCCAAATTTCATCCCCAGTTTCCTCAGCCTTTGTCTTATTAATAAATAAACATAATAAACGCTTGTTATTTATTAGGAAACATGTCTATACTATTACTTTTTTGCAGTGCCGGGGGTTGAACCCTGGGACAGACACATTCAAGGCAAGTAGGTTTCTGTTCTTTTTTTTTTTTCTTTTTTCCCATTTTTGGGTCACACCCGGCGATGCTCAGGGCTGAC